GCCATCTGCAATCCAACCCCACCACCAAAGACATTTTTTCCCTCCCCACCCTTATCTGCTTTCCGGAAGGACCACTCTTTCAGTGACTCCCTCGTCCGCTCCACACTCCCCTCCAGCCCCACCACAGCCAGCACTTTTCCCTGCAACCGCAGGAAGTGCTACACCTGCCACTACACCTCCCCCCTCACCCCCATCCCAGGCCCCAAGAAGACTTTCCACATCAAGCAGATGGTCACCTGCACATCTGCTAATGTGGTATACTGTATCCGCTGTTCCCGTTGTGGCCTCCTCTACATCGGGGAAACCGAAGCGAAGGCTTGGGGACCGCTTTGCAGAACACCTATGCTCGGTTCGCACTAAACAACTGCCAGTCGCGAACCATTTCAACTCCCCCTCCCATTCCTCAGACGACATGTCCATCCTGGGCCTCTGCAGTGCCACAACGATGCCACCCAAAGGTTGCAGGAACAGCAACTCATATTCCGCTTGGGAACCCTGCAGCCCAATGGTATCAATGTGGACTTCACAAGCTTTAAAATCTCCCCTCCCCCTACCACATCCCAAAACCAGCCCAGCTCGTCCCCGCCTCCCTAACCTGTCCTTCCTCTCACCTCAAGCCCCACCCCCACTTCCTACCTACTAACCTCATCCCGCCCCCTTGACCTGTCTATCCTCCCTGGACTGACCTATCCCCTCCCTAACTCCCCACCTACACTCTCACCTTTACTGGCTCCGTCCCCACCTCTTTGACCTGTCTGTCTCCTCTCCACCTATCTTCTCCTCTATCCATCTTCTATCCGCCTCCCCCTCTCTCCCTATTTATTTCAGAACCCCCTTCCCCTCCCCCATTTCTGAAGAAAGGTCTCGGCCTGAAACGTCAGCCTTCCTGCTCCTCTGATGCTGCTTGGCCTGCTGTGTTCCTCCAGCTCTACACCTTGTTATCTCAAGATTCTCCAGCATCTGCAGTTCCTACTATCTCCATATTTATCTGTTGTTCAGAATGGTAAGAAATCCTCTCTCGCATCTCTCTTTTGTGCTGTTCACCTAGGTGGTTCATTGGGCAACTCCTCAATACAGCACAATATCAAAATATTATGTTAGTTATTGTTAAAAACTTTACCTAATTTTATTGTTTGAGTAATGTGGGATTTCGTCACAATTGTGCATAGGTTGATTCCTATCTTTTCTCAGTGAGAGTTAAAGGAATAGATAGCATGTCCATGATCCTTAAATGGAACAGAGCACATTTTCAATAACTAAATAAATTATTGGACCTTTTGCAATATGTTGATGCATGGGTAACTTTGCTCCAAGAATTTGGAAAGTAATTTATATGGGGTATGACCAGATTCATGGAAGTAAGTAATTTGAGCTGGATCCTGAAAAAATAAGCATGTTAATGTTTTCTTCACTATTGCCACTAGATCAATAAACAAATTTTCCTCCCTCTGATAAAACAACACATTCTGTTATTGTGTCAAAGCCTAAAATCATGATCAAAGAGCATGGTTTTAAGCTATGTCTTTAAAGAAAGCAAGGTAGGAAAGTGAAGGGGTGGAAAGAGGAACTTTCAGACTCTTAGGCAGTGATGCAGTGGTTAAGATCAAGAATGCTGAAGAAGCTGTAGGTCGAGGAAGAACAGGTCTTGGACAAATGTGTGGCTGGAGCAAATTTAGTGATTGAGTGGCAAGACTATGAAGATATCTAAAGACAAAGGTGAGAAATTTATTAAAACTGCAATGTTTAACCAGGAACCAATGTATATGAGCCTCAATGATGAGGGAACAGGAATTGGTGAGAGTTAGGGCATGGGTAACGTGCATAACCTCCGGTTTATGGAAGTTAGAACAAGGAATACTTAAAAACAGTTCACTGAATTAGGCAAACACTGAGGTAATGAGGCAACAAGGTGGATTTCGGCAATAGCTGAAGACAGCAGCAGGATAGGGTGCTATGTTAAAGAGGTAGAGGTCAATTTGAGACGAGTGGGAAATGTTCTGAAAGATGACCTTGATCAGGTGGGTCAATGGGCCAAGGAGTGGCAGATGGAGTTTAATTTAGATAAATGTAAAGTGTTACATTTTTGGTAAGGCAAACCAGGGTACATCTTATACATTTAAAAGTAAGGTCCTGGGGAGTTGCCGAACAAGGGGACCAAGGGGTGCAGGTGCATAGTTCCTTAAAACTGGAGTCGTAGGTAGATAGGCTAGTGATGAGGCGTTTGGTATGCTTGCTTTTATGGTCAGCACATTGAGAATAGGGATTGAGATGTCATGCAGCTGCTGTACAGATATTGGTTAGGCCAGTTTTAGAAAACTGTTTTCAGTTCTGGTCTCCCTGCTATAGGAAAGCTGTTGTTAAACTTGAAAGAGTTCAGAAAAGATTTACAAGGATGTTGCCGGGATTGGATGGTTCGAGCTGTAGGGAGAGGCTGGACTTTTCCCCTGCAGCATGGGAGGCTGAGGGGTGAATTTTATAGAGGTTTATAAAATCATGAGGGGCATAGCCAAGGTCTGCCTTCCCCAGGGTAGGGGAATCCAAAACTAGAGGGCATAGGTTTAAGGTGAGAGAGGAAAGATTTGAAAGGAACCAGAGGGGCAACTTTTTCATGCAGAGGGTGGCACGTGTATGGAATGAGCTGCCAGAGGAGGTGGTGGAAGTGGGTACAATGGCATCATTTAAAATGCATCTAGATGGGTATATGAATAGGAAGGGTTTGGAGGGATATTGGTCAAATGCTGGAAAATGGGGCTAAATCTGTTCAGATATCTGGTGGGGATGGATGAGCTAGACTGTAGGATCTATTTCCATGCTGTATAACTGCCTGCGGATAGTCATAGAATGTTTAAACCTCTGTACCTAGCTAAGTTTTCCTGAAATCTCCGTGTGGATATGGGAGGTGATAACCCATGTATCATGCCACTAGGTGTTTGTTTTGAATTTTTAAAAACTGAATTCTGAAATATTTTGCTAATTTGTTAGGTCTTTATTTCTTTTTAATGTACACTGGTCCCTGTCTCATCAGAAGCTGCAGATTTTAAGCAGGTATGGTTGGGAAGTTTGTAATGGGCTATCTTTTTGTATTGTAGTCAAAAGCCCACGATGCAAGGTAATAAAATGCTTCCAAAGACTAAATCTTTGCCAGAAAGGCGATGCTTTGTGTTTTAATTATAATTCCAAGAGAGAATCTTTATTGCTTTTCAGACTAGAAGATCAATACAAAAGCTGTTAGAATGGGAGAACAACAGGTTATATCACAAGGTGAGGAAATTAAAGAATTGTTTCCGCATATGAAAAGTCGATAAATACTGTAGTTTGTTGTTTTGAATTGGCTAAACCTTTTGCTGCAAGAATCTGAACTTTGTTGATAATCTTCCTGAGTAAACAGGTTTTCAGCCAATAACACCACATGATGGCGCTATATTTTAAGAACATAGAACAGTACAGCACAGGAATTGGTCCTTCGGCCCACGATGTTGCATCAAACGTGACACCAAATTAAACTAATCCTTTCTGCCTGCTCTTGGTCCATATCCCTCCCTTCCTTGCATATTCATGTGCTTACCTAAAAGTCCCTTAATCGCCCCTATCGTATCTCCACCACCATCTCAACAACAGTGTGTTCCACTCTGTATTTTTTTTAAAAAACTTGCCCCTCACATCTCCTTTGAACTTTCTGCTTCTTACCTTTTTTAAATGTATTCCCCTAGTATTAAACATTTCAACTCTGGGGGGAAATAAGATTCTGACCAACAACCCTATCTATGTATCTCATAATTTTATAGACTTCTATCAAGTCTCCCCTCACCCTCTGCTGCTCCAGAGAAAACAACCTGAGTTTTTCTAGCCTCTTTTGCTGATACCTGTATACTGTTCACACCTTGACTTGCAAGAATTATAGAACAGTTACAGCACAAGTAGCTGTTTGGACCATTATGTCTATGCTAACTCCTGGTGAACTTGACTCTCCTGACACTTCCTCCACTGCCGAGTTCTATTGTAATGAGGTTCAGAATGATCTTTTGCTTTAAATTAAAATAGCCATCTTCTCTGTCTAACCTGATTTGTAAATCAATAACTTCATTAAGCATCCTGGTGTTGTGTTAGGCTTATTAGAGGAAGGAAAGCTGTTTACAATATATGTTAATGACTTGGAGGAAGGAAGCAAGTATGATGTCACCAAATCTGCAGGGAACAAAAATAGATGGAAAGGTAGGCTTAGAAGTATGCAAACAGTTTGCAGAGAAATATTGCTAGGTTAAGTGGGCAAAAAGTTGGCAAATGGCATATAATGTGGGAAAATGTGAAGTTGTTAATTTTTGATCAGGAGGACAAAGGACAGTACTATTTTAAAAATCTGCAGAAAGCTGCAACACAAAGGGATTTGTGGCAACTTATGCATAAAACACTTACAAAGAGGGTTGGAGTATGAGTAGGGAAGTCTTACTGCAACTATACAAGGTGCTGATAAGACCACATATGGAGTGTTCTGAGCAGTTTTGATCCCTCCCATTTAAGGAAGTCTTTTTTTTAAACTTCTTTGGAAGCAGTCCAAAGTAGATTCACTAGGATGATCCCCAGTCTAGAAGGATTGTCCTGTGAGCAAAGGCTAAACAGTTTGGAACCCTCTTCACTGGAATCTAGAAGAAAGAGGGGTGATCTCATTGAAATATATAGGATTCTTAAGGGGTTTGACAGGGTAAATGCTGAGAGAATGTTTCATCTCACTGGAGAGTCTAGGACCAGAGGGTATAATCTCCGAATTAAGGGGCACCAATTTAAGACTGAGATGAGGAATTTCTTTTTGAGGATTGTCTTTGGAACTCCTTGCCACAGACAGCTATTTGGGCAGACTCTTCTGCATATTTAAGGCTGAGATAGATCCTTGATCAATAGAGGAATAAAGGATCATGGAGAAAGGGCAGGAAAGTGAACATGTGGCATGTTGGATCAGCCAGTATCCTATTGAGTGGCAGAGCAGGCTCGAGGGGCTTAATAGCCTACTCCGGTTCTTTATTTCTTATGGTCTAAGATGTAAACTCAATCAACTTTAGGACAGATGCCAACACAGCTAAGCTTATTCATTTTGAGCCATTAAATATGTGGTCACCTCTCCCAAAACCCTGTTTGAATCTACCCAGTCCAGAATTCATCGCTTCCGCTGCATTGTAGTGGCCCTAGCTGAAGTCACAAATGATATTTCCTGTGGCCAAGATCATGTTCTGTTATTTCTGCTTCACCGTTCTGAAGTAGTGATTCTATATTGGGCTGCTTGCGCATGGTTACACTCCATGCGACCTTTAATCTTCTTACTTGACTATCGGCCGCTTTTGCTGGACATCCATTGCTGGTAGTCTGTAAACTCTATCTTTTTCAAAGTGAACTGTTGCTATCCTGCACTGTTGCAATCATTCATTAAATTTTCCCATTACCTCCTAATTTAAATCCCTGTTCTCATTTCAGAATCTGCCATGGTCTTAGACTTGCTACTTTACAACCTCTTTCAGCCATCCGTCTTTGTTTTGAACCTTTTTAATCCTCTCATTGCACTTTATGAATTGACCTTTTGTATTATAGCACCTTTGACAGAACTTTATGCTTTATTTTAAACCATACTGCAGAAATCCTACCCTAATCCGTCTGCCTCTCTGTCTTCTTTCATAAACCTTTCGAAGAGCCATCTTTTTGACACAGCCTTAAATCATCTTTGATTACTGTCCAGGGGGCTGGAATTTTTATTCATAGGCTAGGAGATAGGAGTGCAGGAAAACGTCTCCAGATTGTATCAGAAAGGCTGCCTATCTTTTTCCCCACCAGCAGGAAAAGCAGCAGCTCAGTCACTGGTTGTCTGTCTTCAAGTCAATAATGTAAATAGTTGAGAGGCCAGCTGCTGGCTGTTTGCCTAATGCAGACTCAGCCTTTCCATGACTTTTTGGGTATGGATGAGGGGTTGGGGAAGGAATATGAGTGGCTTGATTTCCAGAGACTGCAGGACTTCGAGAGAGCATTCTTTGGTAATGACCTTCGCTGATGCCCCAACACCACCTCTGGAGAGGTTACCCCACTGATCACTGGCTCTTGACTTCCTGACCCTGGCACAAATTAAATTTATCTTTCTCCCCTCAAGAATGCCTTAATGCAAAGATGTCCTGTCTTTTTTTAACCTTCAAAGCAGCCACCTACATTGTTGCAGTAATGAGTCTGCAGAGTTGCCTGACCTCTGGGATAGAAGCTGTGAAGGGAGCCAACAGTTTCTTTGACCACAGCTCTCACATGATCCTTGGGGCCCCAACAATGGGTCTTGCCTTGTGCCAGCAAATATCCTTTTGTCTCTGTTCCTCCTTTCTGTATCTCTATAAAGCATCTTAAGATGCTCCCACTGTTGGAGTTGCTACATTGATGAAAAATGTTCTTCACCTGAATACTTTGTTGAAAGTTCAGAGAAGGAGGAAGAATCATGGCACAGGTCACTGATGGCAAGACCATTTAAGTTTCCTCCCCATTTTTAGCAGAAAAGAATTGAGTAGGGAGGCTGAAAGATAGACTTTTAGATACTGACCATCTTAGTATTGAAAGGCAGATGCTTTAGTAAATGTGGTCTTACTAGAGTTTCATTTTGTCACATACAGAAGTAATCAATTGATCCCAGGAACTGAAATCTTTTGCTGATTAATATTGCACTTGAGCTAAAGTTTTTAAGAGGGTCAGTTTTAATTTATCTTCAACTACATGTCTGATTTTTGTTTTTTTTTGTTTTGGGATTAGCTTGGTTTGCACTGGAAGTTAAGTAAAAGGAAGTGTGAGTCCAGTAACATGATGGAATATGTAAGTTCATCTGCATTTTGCTAACTGTTAGAATTTGTTTTGCCAATATTCTCCAATCTTCCTCTGAAAGCATTATTGTTAGACCCTGCATCATGGCCACAGCCAGTGACCAATCTTCATGTTGATCAGGATATTTGCAGGCATTGAGTGATTTTATTCTTGCTTAACATCCATATGAACATTCTCTAATGTAGGTATTGAGTAAGAGTCAAAAATTGCCTGATTATGGTGAGCTTGAAGAAAACAAAATAATTACTTGTCTGATTGAAATTAGCAAACCAGCAGCAGACCTGACATTAAAATTAGGAAAGCAAGTAAAAAAAAATCAATAAATATAACAAGGTGTAGAGCTGGATGAACACAGCAGGCCAAGCAGCATCAGAGGAGCAGGAAAGCTGACGTTTCGGATCGAGACCCTTCTTTTGAAAAAAATCAGTAGACTGGTCACCCTACTTGTCCTGATTCTTTGTAACTGACTTGAAACCAGCTACGTAAGAGGTTGGAGACTAGTTACCCACCAGCGTTCTTGGTTTGACATAGCAAATCTTGCAGGACCTAAAGCTTTTTTCTGTTGTTTATCAGTAATTCCAGTATTTATATAATGTCACCACCTTGACCTATACTAAGTGACCTTATTTGTATTGGTTTCCCTGAAAGCTTTAGATCATATTCTGTAGACAATGAAATGTGAAATAGTATTTACTATTAAACAAACAAATATTTTCTTGTTCTTTACAGGTAATACTAATAGAGTTCTTACCAAAATTTCCTATATTCCGACCGGACTGAGAAGAGCCCCAACTGTCAAAGTAACAGCATATCATTCCCGCCCTTAGTGCCTTGTAGATATCTGAACAGATGACTGCCAATACACCTGTTTTAACAGTAATCTACCGTGGTGATTGTAGATACCTTTCTAATCTATTTTCCTTCTTTCACAAAGCACATTTTGCACATGTATTATTTTCCCTTTCTCTAAAGTGTTGCACTCGATCTGTTACTGCGTTCATTTGTTGAATGTGGAGATGTTCACTTTGTGGGGGGGGAAAAAACTCAAATCTTGTACGTAGTGCTTCAGTCCATATTGTACAATAATGTGGTTGTATTAATGTTTACAGAATGTAATGTTGTTCCTTTACTAACCCCCAAGAATCTAAAAATATGGAAAACTTTTTGGTTAAGTGTGAATTTTTGTGCAGATTTTAATCTGTAAACTGTATCCATAATGGGATTAGCAATGCAACTGGATGAGGAAGTGCCTTTCACTATAGTAAGACAGGTAATTCGCATTGAAGTAATGTATACTGCATGTGAAAAACAACTAAGGAAGTGAGTTAGATAAAACTGTCACTTCTGTGCTAGAGCTTAAGTATTCTGATTATTGGCATCTACAGCTAACTGTAAAAATTATGTTCTATTAATTACAAAAGCATTAAATATTATTTTAATTTGGATGAAGGATGAAATGGATGGAAGATTGACTATGGTGCCTATTAGCATGAAGTACCATTGGTTAATATATTTCTCTCAACTCCATAGTTTTTTTTTAAACCTCTGCTTTTGCTTGGGTAGTCCCGTTGAAACTTAGCCATTTCCCTTTTTGAGAATCACTTGAGAAACACCACCTCTGTTTTCATCATGTTGTTAAATAAGAATTTTATATATTGTGAAGTTTTTATTACAAAAGAGGGATTCATTGTCAATATTTATGTCAACAAGCGTTCTTAATTTCTCTCCCTTCAAAACATATTCCTGAAGTCTGTTTCCATTCTACAGACTTGGACAGAATAGTAAAGTTGCAATTAATTGTTGCTAAACTTCCTATTAGGGATATTAATTTTTGTGAATTTTAGTTTTAATGAAGCACAATTCTCAGTAAGTGTTGTTAGCCACTCTGCAAATCTTTTGAGGAGCCAAAATTCTTGTTTGCTTTCAGTAATCTTAAACTATCTAGTATCATACCTTTTGGAACTTGAGACAGGACGTTATGAACCTTTTTCAGTACATGTTTCTGCTGCACTTCTATTGCATTCTGTAACAAAGTTTCTTAGTTGGCTGTATGGGTACCTGAGTAGGTGTCTCATTTAAGTGTTAGAGCCTTTGGTGCACTGAAGCTGATCTCTCCAGTAGCCAAAATCTCATCACAAAATCCAGCTGCGTTTTAAATTATGTTTTAGTACATTTGCCTCCGCTGCCCTTCATGCAAGCTTTTGCAAGACTTTGAAGAACATCCTGTGAATTTTACGTTTGTCCTTTTGATCTTTCCTCTGGCTTGCCTTTAATATTCTAAGTTAACATTTATCAATGCGTTTTTAATGTAGTTTGTTGAGTGCAGCTCCTATAGTGCCTGTTTCTAACCCATATTTTAAAGGAACACTTTTTTTTCTCATTGATGTCAGAACTGAATTTTTCAATTTGGGATTTTTTTAAAAAAAATCCATCTTAAGTATAAATTTATCGCATGAATTTTCACCAGTTACTGTTAAAACTAAGTAAATTTGATCCATAGATGTGGCAAAGTGCCAAATTAACCAAGTGGTTTACCTGTGGAAATAGTTGTATTAATGACTATAATTACCTACATATTTGCCAGTTAATCAGAAATGACAGATCTTTGGATAATTTGCTCTTTAACTCATCTTGATTTTTATTATCACTTTGAACCAATTTGCATATAATTTTATAGTAATTTCTAAAATGAAGGGAAATTTAGTTCACAACAGCAAAAGTCATGGTTTTGCTGACTCCTTTTTAAGGAAAGGACAACCATCTGCCATGCATATTCCATCACTTAATTTTGATATGTCATTTATCTAACTTTTTAAATGGGTTATTTAAAGTCTATCTGATTGCAACAATGTTGCTAAAGTGGTAGTAAGAAAGGGATATCTGCTGGGTTGCTTTGAGATAAAACAAATTACATGAGATTTGTGAAAAGCTATCAGACATTGTATGTTTAGCATGTTAGATTTTTGTATGGCCTGATGATTCTTGTAATGCAGTTCATGTCGCCTATTTTATCATAATTATGCTCATTGCCAGAATTTTACTTCATAATTTAGTAGAAAATATTACAAAGTAGTAATTTGAAAGGTTCATGAGATGGCTACGTGCACCCTTATGTTCCTACACACTTTTCTTAATTTTTTTTTTAATACAGTTTGCTGGTAAGATGAAGGGGAATGTTCCATCTCAAATATTTTTGAAAGTTTCATTTTTTAAAATTTTAATTGCAGTTTTGTTCTCTTCATTGGAAGTGCCACAAATTTGGTCTTGTTAACTGCAGAAAAAATTCCAAAAACAGATTTATGCTATTTAAAAGCACTTTCTTCAAACCTGCTTGTTGCTTGTGGATGAAGCAGTTTAAAAATTGGTCCGACAATCAGGAATACAATATGGTTGCATGATGGACAATATACAGTTTAAATTGCAGCAGAAATTAAAGCAGTAATTTCTTGGCAACACTTTGTGAAGAATGTAGAATAAACATTTCACTACATGTAACTTTTTTAAACTAATTTTAATTATTTAGTAAGTTATTCAACAGCTTAAAACATTTTTTTTTGTCAAGTGGAGCATGTTTTCAGTCAATACTGAAGTGATGTTAACAGAAGAAAGTAAATTAATTCAAGTATTTTTATTTGAATAAAGGGGAAAATTTGTAAAGGTTTACCATTGTTGCCTAAGTGGTTATGTTATTAAACATGGGCTGGGGAAAGAGAAGAAATCAACCCTAATTGTTCAAACAGAAATTGAATTTCATTGTCGCACCTAAGCTTTGCAATGTACTGCAATTACATCATTCAGATCACATGCTGAAAATGTGCTGTAGACCAACAGATAAGCACATGAATAGATATCAGTGTTTTATTAAACCTTTCAAAAGTATTGGCTTAACCAGTAAAATGCTGTTCTTCACTTGAATTGCATGTGGCACTAGAAATTCTTACCCGGTCACTAGTTCAAGCAATCATGTTACCATCATTTTAATCTTTATCACTCAAAATATCTTATTCCTTTTCTTCTCTTCTCCATCCCTCCTATTGTCATAATTAAGCTTACTATTGGCTGTTTTGTGTATTTATAGAATGTACTACTTTTCATTCTACTGGGTCATTTATGAGAATGCATAAATAAAGTAAGTTTAAATATAGTGTACTGTTTTGACTCTGTCTCCCAACACTACCTTAAATCATCACTTAAGATAAATGAGTGGTGAATGAAGTTATTACAACAATTTTTTTGAAAATCCACAATTGTAATTTCAGGTGGCCATGTTTGTTATTCCAGGTGGTGGTGTTGAATAATTCATATTACCTGATGAGCATCAAAACATATTTTATCCTTTCAATATGCTGATTGCTCACGACAAGCTAAATGAATGCTACAGTAGAAAATAGGCTACAAAAATATATTATCCGGTCATTATCATGTGAGGGCTGTTGTACCTAATTCACTGCATTTCTTGCATTACAGCAGTAATTACACTTTGCAAAACATGTACTTTGGCTAATTGACATATCCTGTGTTCAGAAAAGGCATTATATAAATGTTAGCTTTTTTCCAAATTTTAAGACCGGATTATACCATAGTTTGTTTTCCCTGAGCTCTTGCTTGTTTCAAGGTACTGATCTCTCTAAGTCGATTTGGTATTGATATTGTAATTGCTATGAGCTACCTCAAGGCATCAACCTTTCAGAATTTTTGAATATTTTCATTTCACCCACTACTATAGAGTTAGTGTTTTAAATACTATAAATAAGCAACTTTCCTCCATCATTACCTGGACTGGAGAAAATTGTCTTTAATGCATCTAGATGGTGAGTCAGCAAAGTGGAGCATCTGGCACTGTTGTTCATTCCCATGTTTAGTAAAACTCTTTTCTTCCTGTTTCACCCGTGTTTCTTTGCTTCATTGCTGACAGTATGTCAGCATACTGTATGTCAACTGTCACACATGCAGTTTTCATTAATAGAGCTGATTTGATTTATGGACTTGGATTTGAGCGGTTGCAACTGATTTTTTTTTTAGAAAAGGTATTTTAGTATGCAACTTTTTTTTGCAGATGGTATCAAATAATCTAAAGCCACTATCAATAAGCTTCAAAATGTAAAGGTCCTACACTTTGTCTCCAGCTGTGCAACAACTATTTTTGTAGGCTTTTGAACAAAATCCGGTGCAATACTGTGAAGAGCTTTTAGGTGTGGGTCACTCCTAATTGGAATTAGATTGAATAGAATATGGGACAGTCTCAAACATTAACAAGAGGAGATCGTCAATCAAGCAGATTCAAATCCACTGAATAATTGAAGTATCTGTACCAACATACTATTCTGTATAATGGCTGCTCGTATACAGATTTGTGTTTCATCTCGCACTGAAAGTTTGTCCAAAATTTCTGTTGGATACCTTTTTCTAATTCATAAATTCAATTGGTATTAAGAATTGGAATGATGGTTATTCAGCCCAAGATGTATTAATTCGTGTGTAGGATACCCTGTGCCCTTTTTAATGCTCCTTTGCCCTTGTTCTGGTTTCAGATAAATTTAAGCAATTAATTAATTAAATTTAATTCACCATTTTTGTTATTCATACAAAACTTTACCTTTTTTAATTCTGATTTTCCTCCTTGAATATTATTATTTGCTTGGCTTCAATATATAGAATAATGTACTTTAAGTAGTGAAACTTATTTCTCAACTTTTGGTTGGGGAAAACGGACATTTACTTCTGCCTTTCCAGTACCACATTTGTTATTGCACAAACATCATTTTCTCTTGTAGCCAAGTAGCAACTGTGGATGCTGAAGATCTAAACCATAAACAAAATACTGGAGAAATTCTGGCAGCACCTGTAGAAAGAAAACAGTTAACTTTTTGAGACCAGAGACCTTTCATTAGAACCGAAAGCAGTTGTGAAATGGTGGTATTTACTTTGATGACTGGATGGGAAAAATGAATTAGATAGCCAAAGATGGTCCCTAAAGAGAGCAAGAGAAGGAGATGGGTGGAAAATAGAGAAGCAAACAGGGATTTCTGTTAGTAAACTCAGAGGTAAGTGCTGAATGGGTGCTTACAGGAAGTACAAATATTTAAAAATAGGTTGGCTGTGTTGGGAGTAAGTGTTACAGAACAGGACCTGGGGTTGTGAGGGTAAGTAATGAACAGGGAGGGAACAGCTGAACTGTTGATTCCTGAGGCCTGTAAGGTACCTAGATAGAAGGAAAGATTTTGGTAACTGCAGCAGGCCTGAGACACATGTTGGCATGGGAACACAGTGGTGTATTGAAATAATAAACACGGGCAGACAAGTCAGTTTTATGGACAGAGCAGAGATGATCTATGAAGCAGTCAGTCAGCCTGTGAATTATCTCCCCAAAGTAGATTACATGCTATATTGTGAGCAGCAAGTAAAGTAGACTAGATCAAAGTGCAAGTAAATGACATTCACCTGGAAGGTGTGTCTGGGACCTTGGATAGGGAGGAGGTAAACAGTATGGGGAGGTGCAGTGAGGTCATGTGTGGATGAGACATATACCAGGGTGACCCAGAAGGAATGGTTTCTCTGGAATGCTGATGAAGGGAGGGGAATGTGTGTCCAGTGGCAATGGTAGTTATGATCCTTTGGGTTCCCCAGTTCTCACTTTTCAACCCACATGGCCTCCACATCCAATCATTGTTGAAAGGGGGAAATGCTTGAAGGCCGAAGTGCTGGAAACTGGTCAACATGCACCATTTTTCTGGTGTCTGACTTTCTTCATTCCATGTTACTACTGTTCCATTCGATAGTGATTAAAGAAATCTACCAAAGTGGAGAAAAATATACTGGGTTTGCATAAACATTGTTCAAGTGAATTCATATGCCTGTCTTATTTATACATCTAGATCAGTGCATCTCCGACCTAGGAATGAGTGTTTATTGATTTGAAAGACAAATTAGATTTGTAAAATTTCTTATTAGTGCAAGATATTGCATTTATTAAAATGAAAGCTACTGCTGGAGTATAATGGACGTCCAAAGCTATTAATTATTTAACATTATGTTCACAATGCAAATATTCTAAGTATTTTCTCTGCGTACAACTCTGATAAAATCAGGTAATATTGCACTCACATTTTCTAGATTATTTCTTTAAATCGGTCACCATCTGTCTTTTTTTACTGTTAACTGCCCAGATGACTTTGAGATCCAAACAAGTTACTTGAGCCATATGCCAGGTCCTAGTTGCATAGGGAGATGGTGGACCTGGCATATGGCTCAAGTAACTTGTTTGGATCTCATCAAAGTCATCTGATCCAGGCACATTTTCAAGTGAACCCCTCTATTCCAGGAGGAATAGCACAGTCTAGAACAGGTTCTGAGTTGACATGTGGACAGCAGGATGTCACGTTATTTGAAGATACAGCCTGAATCATGAAAACTCTTGCTGCCAGTGAAGGATCCACGTTTACCCAGAGGTTTTGTAGTCATTGATGTAGATGCTTTTAATAAACCTGTTCCAACACTGACAGGTCTGAAGCCGGTGGCACTTGAACCTAGACTTCTGGCCCAGAGTTTGGGACATTACCACTGCACCACACAAGCTCCCTGCTTCACCTGATATTTCCAGGTGGCCTGCCATCCAAGAACTAACCAGGCCTGAGTCTGGTAAGCTTCCAAAATCAGGCTCTTTCAGACTAATATGGCCCAGGGTGTTCATTTCATATTTCTTTTGACCTGCCTTTAATGAAAGGAGAATTAAATGTGTGTTGTCATGTGTTTATATTTGTGTGATGATCATAGAGGAAATCAGGGCAGATACATAGAAGAAAATACCCCTGAGACCCTCTCAGTGCTTTGCACAGCACGGTTTCCATGTTTAGCAACTTCTATGTGGTGCCCTCCCTATGGACTCAGGTAGTGGAGTCCCACTGCTGTCTTGTCTCTGCCTTGGCTGAAATGCATGTGGCAGTTGTCCTTGTCATGGAAGTGACACTAGGTGGTATCTCCAGCGACTGATGCACCTGAATCATTGCAGAGCAGTCTCCATCACAGGGCCTCTGTCAAAGAGGTCTGGAACTGAAATGAAGAAGATGCCCTGTGAGACATGACACTTCATCCTCCTCAGTGACATCCTGAGCCCGATCTGGTGCTGCAGATGGCCAGAGGGAAGTTCCAGCTGGGGCACAACTGGCCTCCCTTCCAGTACTGCTGATTATCCATGCTGCAGAATGTAGCATAAATGCGGTGCATGTCAGTAGTCAGTGCACTCGTGTTGCCCCTGGTTCTCCATGAATTTGGCAACTCTCTCTCCCTAAAGGAGCTAATGTGCCCAAGAGCCCTTTGTCATTTTGTTACACATTAGAGGCGTGGACCCCTGAATTCTCTGCTTGTCACCCCACACTGCCTCTGAAGTCTGAAATGGGGAAAACTATCTTTTTGCCTTTTATCTCAGTCGAGCTTGCTTTCCTGTGAATCCTGAGGCATTTGTACCCAACTCAGCTGGTCTGTCTCCTTTCTGAGATGAACTGCCAACAGGTGCCTCTGCCTGTAGCAACTCCTGCTGCACAATTGGTCTGTGCTCATAACCCAGTGCCATCCTGTCCAACCATGCAAATACCTTCCAAGGTGAGTCCATCTACACTGTTGGATGGTGTACTGGTAAGGCATGTAGGTGCTTCGTCCGAGTTCCACTAGTGTTGTTCTTGACTGCTGACAGTGAGGGAGTTGGTCTCTTTACTTTAAAGCCTGTTCTTTTGGAAGACACGAGAGAAGATTGGCAGAACTAGTAATGGAGAGGAGAAGCCACTGCTCTGAAGTTTCCAAATGCACCATTTTTGTGCTCCTTCCTGTCCAACAGCATGATGTTCCCTTCCAGCAAACTTATTGTACTCTATCTAGTTGCCATCTTGACCATAGGTGCCCATTTTGCCTTTTCCAACTTCCTCATGATCTGTGACCCTGATAATATTCATGATGCCCTCCTCCATGCCTATGTTCACTGAGGTAAGGAACTTCACTACCACCCTGGGCTGCCTTGCTGGTATTGAGTCTTGCAAGTACAAAAAGAGACAGAGAGAGAGATAAGGCTCTGTTAGCCTTGGTGTTCATCTGAACCTTACAGTGCTTGCAGTTTTCAGTAATTGTAATTATTCCGAAGGGTCAGTGGGTGCC